GCCCCTCATGAGTCCCAGGGCTTATCTCTCCCATTCATCAGTCAAAATAAATAAATAAGTAAATAAACTATTTACAGCCAGACATCAGACTCTTTCACAAGTGAGTGTCTCTGCTCACCTGCCACATGAGTCTCCATATCCTGGGTCTAGCATGATGACAAGACAGTGCTGAATATTGGACAGACAGATGCCAAAGTTTATCCTAGAAAACACATGGTGACTTGTGCAGTTCTCTTCAGGTCTCACTACATAATCATAGGTAGATTTATTCCAGAACACATGACAAGCATGTGACAGATTCAACACAAAAGTCCAAGTTTTATAATCTTCAGGGACCTTTGCCTTTCAGGTGTCCTCTTTATAGCCCCAGTCCTATTCCTGTTTTTCTAGGTCTCAGACAACATACTTCCTCCCCACTTAACAGTCAAATTCTCATCTCCATCTCCCTCTCCCTCTCCCTCTCTCCCCCCTCCCCCCTTCCCCGTCGCCCCTCTCCCTTCCCCCTTCCCCAACCAGAGAAGCTGTGGTTTTCATTCCCCACACCTCCTTCTACAGAACAGGCTGCTGCAAATGTTCTTGCCTGGCTCTCTGATTTCTACCAAGCGCTGTGTCACTAGCACCACAGAAGTAGAAGCTGCTGTCTTCAGGATGAGTGCTGGTCAAGGTCAGACTTGAATAGGTCAGGTTTGGGTGGCTGATGGGAAACTTGGCTCTTTTAAAACCAGGTTCATAGGTGACGCTGGAGCCCTCATTAGAAATCGCCATCCGCGTGAAGCCCTGTTTCGGGAACTGACGGTACCAAATCACCATTGCGGCCTGAAAGTCCACACAGCGACACTGAATCTTCACAGAGGATCCAGTCTTACAGATGGCCCTCCTCGGGAGCTGAGAGACAAGAGCACAAAGCCCGAACCCTGGTGAAACAGAGGACAGAGGGACAAAAGAAGCCAGCAGGAGCAGAGTCAGGGCCTGGGTCAGACAGTGCTTCATAAAACTCAGCCTTTCTCTGTCACTTTTCTCTCGGCTCCTGGAAAATCCACACTTTCCCCTCATCCTTTCATCCTCCCTCAGCTCATAATCCTCACTTCCCCTCATTAGAGATTCTCAGCCTTTAAACCTTAGACAGCTCTATTGCTCTCTCTCTCACTTTGAACAAACAACTCATGATGGCTGAGCCACTTCACTCACTTTAATGCACAGATACACACACACACACACACACACACACACACACACACACACACACACATACCTACACACACCCAAGCCTGTAATAATGCCCATACTTGGCCCCAGAAGCAACAGAAGCATTAGCATCTTCATTCTTGGCCTCACACCACCTTCTCTGAACAGACTTCAGACCATGCTCTTGGCCCCGTTCTTTAGGACTGATCTAATCATCCTAGTTGTGCTTTAATCTGCCCCCTGGTGGTGGCTTTATCAGTGATGCAATATCCATCTATCCCCTAACAAAAAACATTGCTTTAGGAGGCCTGAGACTTCCCAGCCCAAGTTCAAATGAGGGCATATCGAGACTTAGAGCAATGAAATGTGCATTTCTTATATGGAACAGGTGAAAGATATTTGGATAGAATGACACCACACTCTATTCTTGGCTTCTTTGCAGTATTGTCAAGGTAACCATACCAAGGCAATTCATGTTTGTTTTTCACTAGAACTACACATTCACAGGACTATATGTGTCAACAATGTGCAGGGCAGAGATGAGGCAGGAGGGTCAATATTTCCTCATTGTCATAACGAAGACACTCAGTCCCCTTCCAAATGAGGTACTTAACTTAGGACTGTCTCATGACAATTCCACACATATAACAATTGACTTCAAATGAAAAATATTTATTTATTTATCTCAGATGTCTTTTTGTAAAGGAGGTAACAGCAATCATTTATTTATAATTCTTTTACTGTAATGGAGGTCACAATAATTATTGACCAGTGGCAATAAATTGTAGGAGCTTTGGAGTATTCTTTCTGCTTTGAACATGCAGGGATAATTATTCCAATAAATCAGTCTTGAAAAGCTAAAGCAGTTGCAAAAAGCTTTCATTTTTATAACAGCCTCTTCCTTGTGATTTCTCTTATTGATTACTTCTGCTTATCTGTTGTGGACAGCCAAAACAGTTATGATTAAAGCCTGCACCATCAGATTTGTTTGTATGGTAGTCAAATAGTTTTTGTCACTCAAATGTAACTATCACATTTGGTTAATATTAACATATCTAGTGAAGGGTGTTTGCAGATCCTGTGGCTGCATTTTTATTCCTTGTGTTTTGGGCCTCATTAAAATATAGCCACATCACACCATAACTGTGCAATATGCTATGGATGCCCTTTGGCCTACATTATGTTTTATGTATGAAGGAGTGGCTGGAAGCCCCATGACTCAGAAGAGAAAATCCTATTCCTTTTGAGAGAGAGTCATTGTCAGATATATACATGGGTGTTTTATAATGATGTCAATTTAGCTAAGCACAAAATAAATTTCTGAAAATTTCCTCACTGGTATGATTCTGGGTTGCAGTTGATCACAGGGTAGGAATTACACAAATTATAAAGGGAAAGTATAATGACTATTTTTGCTCTCAAATTACTACTGGTTCAAGATTTGGAGAACAACTATGACCAAAAGTGCCTGTGGGTTCCCATGTGTGCTTTTTCTGCTCCACATCCCAATGTCTGTACCTCCTGCCAGCCCTACTGACTAACAGATCCCCATCATCACCAGTTCCTTTCTTGAGAACTCACAGAGCAGTGGGCACAAGAGTCACCCATCTTCCCTGGATCCCCATACAACCTCCCTTCACTGTCTATCGGGGGATGGTTTTACCTAACTCAACATAAGCTCTCATTCATTCTTCTTCACCAAAGCTACTTTGAATGTTTTCCTAACTAGATTTTTTTGGAACTTTAATCATTTAACTTTCCCCAAGTTGTGTCAAGCCTGATTCCTATAATAAATTTTCCTTAATGCTCATAGTGGGTCTTCATTCCTGATCTCACCTTAGTTGAAATAACTTTTGCATCACTATTAATGCTGCCATATGGATTACAGATTAGCCAAAGCCCAAGTCAAACACTTTGTCAACAGTTAGTACATGCTATCATTCTTCTTCTTTGAGAATATTTCAATATCACTTCCTGTTATAGTTTCAATCTAAAATGTCTTCCAAAAGTCTTGTGTTCAGGGTTAAATCTTTTGGAAGATAGTTTGATCAAGAGAACACTATACTCATCAGTGAATTAGTCCTTCAATGAGTTTATAGCAGACTGTGGTGTTTGGATGTGGGGCCTAGTTGGAAGAGTCAGGTCACTGGATTGGAAGTATGACCTGGAAGTGTATATTCTTGTCTTTGGCTTGTACCTTCTCTCTCTCTCTCTTTCTGTTCTTCTTGAAAGCCATGATGTGAATAGGTGTTCTCCTCCAGGCCCATCTACTATGCTGTTTCTGCCTTGGCTCCTGATGACCATGGACCAACCTACTGAAAGTATAAGGCAAAATAAAGCTCTCTTCCCTTAAATGGTGGGTGTTGGATATTTTTTCCAGCAATGGGAAAGTAGTTTTCTTTTTATTTATGTAATGAGTTTTCTTGTATGTGAAGGAATTTAATATCTGGTAGTCCTTTGGAAAGGAGATAGAAGTTAAAGTCAGAGTCCTGAGATCACAGGGCTGTGGCACAAGAAAAGCCACAGCCATGTTGAAGTTTAACAGCTTCTAATAGGATTCTATATCTTTGCTTAGAGTATATCTGCTACAAGGAATCAAGACCATGTGGCAAAGGATTACGTTTAATAGGCAGAAGCAGAACATGATGCATCCTCCTTCTGCTTTGAGTTTTCATAACTATCTGCTAAAGATTTGTAAAAGGAAAATGAGAGTATTTTATTGGTAATTTTCCCACTGATGGGACAAGTATCTGACACTTTCAACTTTTAAGTGAGGAAGAGAGGTTTATTTTTGCTTGTAGTTTCAGTGAATTCAGCCTATTTCTGGAGCTAAAGCAGAACCACTATGGCAGAATGAAATGGTGGAGGAAAGCTATTCACTATATTATGGCCAGGAAGCAGAGAAAGAATGGAAGAGCTGGGGAAAAAATGTACTCTTCTAAGTCAAAACATCAGTGACCGACCTTTTCCAAAAAAGGCCCTACCTCCAAATATGAGAATTTAGGGGGTGTTATGACTTGTAATTTTGATGTCCCCCTAAAGTCCCATGTGGTCCTAGGTGGAGTTTTTCAGAGGTGGCTGGATCTAGGGTGTATGATGCTGGGATTAGTGTGTGATGCTGAGATTAAGGGTATGATGCTGGAATTAAAAGTAGCCCACACTGGGTGTGAGGGCTACCCACCCTAAGGCAGGTAGCCTGGACGGAGTATAACAAAAAGAGGGCTGCTGTCACCTGCGACCTGCCACTGGTTCTTCTGCTGCTGCTGCTTGCCTTCTGCTGACTTCTGCCTGTTCTGTGATGCCCCTCTGCCATGCCACCTTGCTTTGGAACCAGTATAGACTGAAACATCTACAAACTGTGAGATACAATAAACCTTTCCTCCTTTAACTTTGGATGTCAAGTGTTTTGTTTCAGCAATTAAAAAATTAACTAAGATAGGGACATTTTGTACCTCAACCATAAAATTCTACCACTAGGTTGTCAAGAGGCTTATGTCCATTTCATTGTGCAAAATGTGTTTAGCACATCTTTACGAGCAGACAAATTTTTAAGAGTTGTAGTATTGCTAAAGCCTAAGTGCAAAGTCTCCTCTGAGATTGAAGGAAGACTCTTAACTATGAGCTCTATGAAAATCAAAAGGAAATTAAATACTTCCAACAGGCTCTGTGATCCAATAACTCTTGCTTACTACAAGTCTATAAAACCAGCATAACACAGATCACACCAAGGTTGGCTGCCAGCTCAAGCAGTAGCCAAGCCCCTTTGAATCATGGTTCCAGAGGCATCTAAGTATCTGCTGGCTGAACTCCACAAAAAAATCACAGGGAACCAATTTCTTAAGCAAAGCTTCTCAAGCATTGGACCCTGAGCTCTCTTCTCAAAAGAAAACTATAGTTTAACACCTTTGAGCTGAGGAAGAGTGAGAGCATGCTGGTTCCTAAGATGCCTTCAAACATTTTTCCAATTGTCCTAATGGAAAACATTTGGCTCATTTTTAATGTTAATCTTTTCATACAGATAAGTGAGTCATGTAAGACTCTAACATGTCATGATTGAAAAAAACTACACCTAGACATATAATAATCAAAAGATCCTGGAAACCCAATAGAAGAACAAAATACTACAAGCAGTTAGAGAAAAGAAACAAATCACATGCAAAGGACAGCCCATCAGAATCACAGCAGACTTTTCAACACAAACCCCCCAAGTTAAGGAGAGCCTCGAGTGAGGTATTTCAAGCCCTAAAAGAAAACAACCTCCAACCTACACTGATGTATCCTGCAAAACTATCTTTCAAAATTGGTGGGGAAATAAGATACTTCCATGACAAAGAACACCTGAGAAACTTCATGAGTACCAAACCAGCACTCCAAACAATTTTTTAAAATATCCTAGAAAAAGATGATGAAGCTCACAACTCCATGAGGCCCAACAGAGCAAATCCAAAATATTTCATCAGGCGAGGCAAGAAATTAAAGGGAGACGGGGAAAAATTAAAAAGAGCCAAAAATAGAAAAATAACATGACAATGATAAGTCAATACATATCAGTTATAACCATCAATATTAATGGCATCAATTCACCAATCAAAAGAAACAGATTGGCAGAATGGATTAAGAAGCAAAATCCAACAATATGCTATATATAAGAAACACATCTAGTTCAAAAAGAAACTCATAGACTGAAAGTAAAAGGATGGAAAACAGTTCTTCATGTGACAGGAACACAGAAAAAAGGAGGATTAGCTATCTCATTTGCAGACAAAGTAAATTTCAAACCAAAACTTATTAAGAGAGACAAAGAAGGTCACGACATCCTTGTAAAGGGAACAATCCAAGAGGAAGAGATGACAATCATAAATATATATGCACCAAATACTAATGCCCCCAACTATACAAAA